AAAGCTGACACGATATGAGGATTTAAAAATCGAACCGCAAAGACTCTGGCACAAACCAATCAAGGTGGTCCCAGTGGTGATCGGCGCACTGGGTGCAGTGCCTAAGACCTTGGCCTGCACTTAAACACAATCGGCGCTGACAAAATTACCATCTCCCAGCTGCAGAAGGCCACTTTACTGGGATCTGCATGAATTATTCGCCGATACATCACACAGTCCTAGACACTTGGGAAGTGTCCGACGTGCGATCCAATTCAACAGCCAACAGAGTGTTGGCTGTGGCCTCATCTTGTTGTGTTTCTTCTACTACTACTACTACTACTAATAATAATAATAATGATACATCACACAGACTTGTGAAGTGTTCGACTTGTGATTTTGTGATACAAAATCCAGCATATAGATCTTGTTTGCTGTGATGTACTGTGTTTTTGTGTCAGTAAAATAATAATAATAATAATAATAATAATAATAGGAAACTTACTCAGTAAACTTTGGAGTTACTGCCTCTCACAGGCTTGATTCAACTCCCAGCAATCCCCTTCTGTTGTCTTGAAATCCCTTTAGATTTCAGGGAGGAGGAGGAGGTAGCACAAGGCAGAAAGCAGAATGCTGGGAACTGTAGTTTGGGAAAGCGAGGAGCCCTATGGCAGAGAATTCAAAGGACCCTGCCCTAAACTCTTTTTCCCAGAATTTTGCTCACTTCCCGTGTTAAAGCCTCAAAGTTAAACCCAGCCCTTTTGGGGGAGACGGAGATCCGCCGCCACTTATGCCACCCACCTGAAAAGTCATAGGTCACATGTTTTGCCTGTGTGTCTTAATATTGCACTACGTGTTGGAATCTGAGGAAACAGATCCGACGTACGAGGCGCAAGCCAAGCTTTGCACAGCCCTATCCTCTACGCTCTTCCCACAGGTCGGTCAACCAGAGCCTGCGCAACCCCTCCGTGGTGACGCTGGACGGCGAAGAGGAGAGCTCCCTGTCGTCCTTCATCCACCAGACCGTCTCCAGCCTCGACCAGTTCTACAAGCTGTCCCCGGAGAGCAAGACCACCCTGCACACCTTGCTGGGGCTGTACCTGAAGCACCGGCCCAGCGTGGAGGTCGACCTGGAGCCGTCGCTGAAGAGCGAGACGCTGACGCGCGACATCCTGGCACCCTACGTCCTGCACAGCAGCGACAGCTCTGAGGGGGAGGCTGGGGGCTCCTCCGAACCCAGGGGCATCGGAGTGCCCAGCCGCATCGCCTGGGGCGCCCCCAGCCTCACCAACGACTCGATCCACATGGACCAGAACCTGCGCATGCTGTCCAACTCCCGCAACCCGCTCCACGTGGTCGACGGGCCTGAGTACCGCTACTTCCTGGGCATCATCGACTTCTTCACGGAGTACGGCTGCCGCAAGAAGCTGGAGACCCTCTGGAAGAAGATCCGCTACTGGAACCAAAGCTTCTCCACGGTGCCGCCACGTACCTATGCCCGGCGGCTGCGCAAGTGGGTGGAAGAGCACACCGAGTGAAGGCTGGCCAGCCGGAGGGGAAGAGGCTCTGGGCGAGCAGGCGAGTGGCGGAGGGAGCCAGCCTCCATTGACGCTGCCCCGTGCAACTTAATGGCCGGTGGTGCCGACAACAAACCAAAAGACGGAACAAGGGGTGGACAGTTACAGTGTCGGGCGCATGGCCAGCCTCTCAGTGGAAGTCCGCACTCGTCCCCGACTCCGGCAGAAGGTGGGAGACCATAGGGCCATCTATGGGGCACAGGCCCGGCACAGAGGCGGCGAATGAACAGCAACAGCTCGACACGAACAATGAATCCTGGGTTTTGGACCCGGCGGCACTGTATTTGGAAACTTGCAAATTGGGGCTTTTGATCGTAAATACAAAAATGTTGGGTGGAGTTAAAACTCATGAATCAGGGAACACCCAAGAGTCCTCAAGCCACGCAGTTCCAATGCACGGGGTATCGGGGGTAGGCGAGGGATGCATGTCCTTAACTGAAGGAATTAAAATGGTTTGCTATTCATTTTTTAAAAATATATGCAGTTTGAATACTCTATTTCTTTGATTCAAAGACACCATCCATTCTAAGATGCACACTAATTTCAGTACAGGAAAAAGGCTTTATTTCTCTCTATAGGAACAAGAACCCTCGATTCTAAGATGCACCC